AAAAAGATTAAAATATAAAAATTAAATAAAATCAAAATAAAACATAAACTAGTACATATTCACTCCACCAACACAACTATTGGGAAAATACGGTATATGGTTTTAAGTGGGCTGGACTTTATGCAGTCAATCGTTAAATACCTGTTGAAACAGAAAACTCATTACAACAACGATGTTCTCTCCCCCCCCCCCCCCCCGCACTACCCCCCCCCCTCCAAAGAGAAGAAAAGAAATGAAAGCAAGGTGCCACATTAATTTATCTCGGGTGGATATTCCAGTGTTTGGGCATGAGCTGCATAGGATTCAGCTATTACTTAATTGTCTAACCATTTGATAAATGGTTGCCAGGTATAATGTACTGGAATTCATAATGTAATTATGCTATCCTGGACAACAGAAGCTGTTTTGTAGTTTTATCTTACACTAACTTTCAAAAACTGAATTAACTGCCTTTTCAATGGGAACGTGACAGGGACCAATTCTGCAGTTATCAATGTATTTAAGAAGAAAGCGTCAAGCACAGAAAATTAGAACTAGTTTTGTAGCTCATGCAGGGATGAAAGGAAATATCACTGTTACATTCAGGGAGAAGTTGATGTTAGAGTTCTTCCTTCTGAATATAATTTGAAGGATCAAGAAACATTTGAAGTTTGGGAATGAATAAGATACTAGCATCAACCAGACATACACTCCATTTAAGGAAGCTTTCTTCCATAATTTTTAAATTCACACTGATTTTTTTCTTTTGGAAAAAAAATAAATCAATAATCACTGAAACCACAAAAGGAGGATGCATTTTTTCCAGATGTTAATAATTGTTTCCTGTTTCAAATTTCACTATGAACAGATCCAGAATTATTAAGATGCAAATGTTGCCTAATGGAAAACACATTGGGCACCATCCAGAATAAACACTTCCCATGGGGAAGGGAAAGCCAACCCATGTTTAAAGGAAGTTATTCCATCAGAGGGAGACTGAGTGTTAAACCAAAGGCAAAGTGACAGAATGCTGAATTAAAAGACACAGTGCATCAACAGCCTTCTCTGTTCATTCTCGGCTGAAATGAATGAGTTTGCTTAGGAGCGACTGCCAGCAGATTTTGCCTGAATGTTTTACCACTTTAAGAACTGATTAAACAATCCATCTGTGGCATGCCACCCCCTGCCCAGAGCCACTGGTTTTGATCAGATCTCACCATTTATTTGCTAAAGCTCTCTTGCTTCAGGCAGTTCCGTTCTAATTTGACCATTTAGCAGGCTGCTTTTGATGGTCCATTTGCACTGTATCGGTGGCTTAAAGCTTTAAGGAAGCTGTTGGAGAAAGCAAGCAAGTGGTCTAAAATGATAATTGCTAAAGCCAAGTTAGCTCAATTCACATATAAAACCATGAGTTGAATTAGTCCTGTTGAGCACATAATGTCAGTAGGCTAAAAGGCTTTACTATTTGTAGGCTGAAAGGGCTTACTATTTGTTATTGGTGTAATGTTAATATTACTTTGCAATGAAAAGAGCCTGGAAAAGTTTGTATTTTGGACAGAGACTTTCAGAATCCACCCACCAACATGGCTCTGCTGGTTAGAGGATTCTGTGTATTGCCACCCAAAAACTTAACGTTTCCAGACAGTTTCAAGGAATATCAAGTCACACAGCAATAGAGTATGTTAGCATTCCAATAGGAAACAATGAATACAGGATGAGTATCCCTTATCCAAAATACTTGGGACCAGAAGTGTTTTGGATTTCAAATATTTGATGAAGGGGGATTTTAGAGTACCTGCATCTGCATATACATGCATACATAATTAGTTTTCTTGGCGATAGGACTGAAGGCTAAACATGAAATTCATTTATGTTTCACATATAACTTAATACAGTATTTTAAATAATGTTATGCATAAAGAAAATTCTTATATAGAACTATCAGAAAGCAAAGGTGTCATTATCTCAATTGCCCATGTGGGCATTTTCAGATTTTGGAGGATGTTGGGATTTTAATGTTTGCCAGAGCAGGCTGATGGGAACGGGCTAACATTAGCACCAGCTCCCTTTTTTGAATTGATTTTCCTGACTAGGAAGTTCCCAGCCACCCCTTGTCCTGCTGGGGAAAAAATTACTGTGATCTTTCCATGTTTCACGCCAGGAAAAAGAACCCCCCCCCCAAAGTAATCACCTTTTCCCTGGCATTTGCTGCAGTAGATGGGAAGAGTATGTTAGACGACAACTCATAATTCCCTAACAGGAATGTCTTCCACTTGCTGCTTAACATGGCAAGAGGTTGAATACCCAAGGCTCAAATTTAGAAGGGAAAAAATGAAACTGAGCTGGCAAAAGAGGCTTCTAATTCCAGAGGACAATCAAGGAAGTTTTTAATCAGCCTGTGATTTGAAAGGACAACCATGGTGGGGCTACACATGTCAGTTCTTTGCAGGGCTTTCCCTGTTTGGGATTTCTCAAACCTGCAGTAGCTGGTGGCCTGCCTGTCAGTGTTGTGGTGAGTCCACTCCAGATGTTAATCTGAACTTTAAAGGTACAAAACTAGAGACTGCCATTGACTTGAGAAATATAAATTCCCAGAAAAAAAATTGAAAAATTCAGAGGGAAAACTTTCCTTTGTTTCCAAACCTCATTCCCTTCACTCTCTGGAAAAAAAGGGATCAGTGCAGGGAAAGGAAATACAGTGACTTACAAGTTCTATGACTGTGCTCTTAATTCAAATTGCTCTTATGTCAGATCAGACTTCCCCATTGAAGAAATAATAATGGTGATTATGATAATGATGATGATTTGAAATGTTATTAATCTGTTCCATCCCCCCATTTTTATAATACATAATAAAAGAGATTTCAAAGAAATAGACTGGATTTATTAAGTGTAGAGCATGTATTTTCCTTCAGACTTCACTTAATTTTCTTCTTTACTGGGATTTGACTTTTTTTGTCACAATTTCCTCACTTGCAAGGTGTTTCAATGAAAATCTGTCCAAGGATGTTGATTTCTTCCTCCTAGTAAAATTCTTCAGCAATTTTTTTGTCGTGTCAGGAGCGACTTGAGAAACTGCAAGTCGCTTCTGGTCTGAGAGAATTGGCCGTCTGCAAGGATGTTGCCCAGGGGATGCCCAGATGATTTTTGATGTTTTTATCATCCTTGTGGGAGGCTTCTCTCATGTCCCCGCATGAAGAGCTGGAGCTGATAGAGGGAGCTCATCCACCTCTCCCCGGATTTGAACCTGTGACCTGTCGGTCTTCAGTCCTGCAGGCACAGGGGTTTAACCCACTGCGCCACCGGGAGCTCCTCTTCAGCAATGATTAATTAGAGTGAATAACTTGCCTATTTTACTCAGGATATAGGTTTACTGATGATAGACTACCGGCCCTTCAGCTTTCCTACAGTTTCCCAGAGCCCTGGGATTGCAAAAATAACAGCAAGGGCAAGAGCAAGGAGCTTTCCTGGCTGCTCCTTTAAAACCCTTCTTTAGAGGTTTCACTGTAGGTTGTGCCCATGTCCCTGCCAGTGCCACTCATTGCATAGGCACCAGCAGATGCCTGTGGCATACGGGGGTGCAGATGGATTTCTGTGGCTAAGGGTAGTTATGATGACAACACGAATGAGGTGGCAGCTCAGCAAGGTGGATGGGACCAGGCTCATCTGGACAGTTGCCCCAGAGTGACCATATGAATGCTGAATCTGGAGCTCCTATGAGGGCAGATTTAGATCTGGTTAATCTGTTCAGTGTAGACCAGGCCTGCACAACCTTTGGCCCTCCAAGTGTTTGGGACTCCAACTCCCAGAAGCCCTAGCCAACTTGACCAATGGTCAAGTGTTCTGGGAGCTGAAGTCCAAAACACCAGGAGGGCCATAGGTTGTGCAGGCCTGATGTAGACAGACCTTGCCTTCTGCTTACAGAACAGTTTGTGCTCATTCCCTCACTTTACAAAAAACTGATATATGAAAGGTACGGAATGGGTAATCGATATACCTGTGCTGCAGAGAATGAGCATAAACTGTACTTTAAACAGAAGACCTTCCATTTGGGGAGCATGCAGGACCCAGCAGTAGTTCTAACTCTGCAAACTAGATTTTTTTCTGGATGGAGGAACAGCCACAATTGTCACCAACTTTCTCCCTCTGAAGCAGCCAAACTGTCCTGGAGACTCCCACAACCCTCCACAAGAGATTTTCAGGGAATAAGGAGAAGAGGAGTAAGTGTAAGGCACCTCCATGTTGTCTGTAGGATACCCAACAAATTCATACTTATAGCTGGGATGAGATGCATTAGCACAACATATAACATGAACCAAGCCCCAAACATGGTGGGGTTTAAAACTCTGACAGAAAGCAAAGTGTGTTTGAAATCTATTGTACATATGTCTGCAATATCCAAACTCTTACATGAGCCTATCCTATCTGGACTTCATAAAAACTGAGGTGACAATTTTATTTTTTATTTACTTTTTAGTTATATATAATCTTTCTGCCAGTGAGTGATCTATCTATCATGCTGAAGTAGCAATGTAAAAAAAAAATGGAAATTTTCCTATCCTTGCTGAGAAATAATATTTTCACATGTCTCTGACAAAAAAGTGTGAGCAACTGTGAAATTCTATACCTTTGCACAAGAGTGAAAAGACCAGTTTTTTTAAAGGGAGAAGGGTTTGCTCAAGTGAAGTATTTTTCACACAATTGTGTAATGCACAAAATAATATTTTAAGCATGAAATGGTGTATTTTGCACAAAAGCCAATATATTCCCTATAGTAAGGTTGCTTTGCACAAAAGTTCACATCCATACACATATAAATACCTTTTAAATGAAAATTAATATTGCCAAATGGAAAATATTTGAAACTTTCCACATAATGCATTAGAATGAAATAAATAAAATTTTGTACCCCAAATTGGAGACAAGCCCAATATTGTAAATGGCTTTGTATGCTTATTCTGGACTTGCTGTGTTCATTTTGAGCTGAAAGATCTCTTTTTGTTTTTGTTTTCTCCCTTTAGTCAGCCACCTGCATCTCCCAGCACACAGGAAGCCATCCAAGGAATGTTGTCCATGGCAAACCTCCAGTCTTCAGATTCTTGCCTACAGCCTTCATGGGGCAGCAACCAGGCCAAGAATAACTCTATGTCTGCCCCAAACTCCAAAAAAACTGGAAGCAGCAACAACAGAAATGCAGGCAAGAGGTTACTCAAGAAGAGTGCAAAAAATAACATTACAATTGAAGACTATGATGAGGACCAGGACCATTTAGATGCCTGCTTTAAAGATTCTGATTATGGTAAAGGAAACCTGCCTCCTCCCATCTCTTTCTGTGGGACTATTAAAATATACTCACGTTTATGTTAAAATATACTCATGTTTATGACCGGTGGTCGGGTGGGGGTCCTATGGTAAGAGAAGTGCCTTTTGGCAATTAATCATGAACCAGAGACCTGGATATTTTCTAGTGGTCTGCATTTTGTTTTTTTACAGAATCAGTACAATTTGACATATGTTCCAAGTCACAACATCTGTACTGCTCAATTGATTCTATTTCACTTTTTTAAAAATCTGTGTGACTTCATGGTGCAAGGTTTTTTTTAAAAAAAATGCAGCTAAACCATTGTTCATGTTTACTAAGTATATGTTTGTTAAAAGAATTGGGTCACAAACACAATATAGCGGCAAATGAAGATTTCCTTTTTAGTGAGACTAGATATTCACTCTGGGCTTCAGTGTGAATTTTAAAGGCAGTATCTAGAGTGCTGTACACTGCCTCCAAAATCAGTTCAGCAAATCTGATTGCCCATTCAAAGTTTGCATTCAAGCAATGTGGACAAAAGAATGACTATCACTAAGAGTCTTTGTGGTATAACATGGAAATTAGACCTCATATTAGCATTGTAACAACAAATTCAGCTATTCCCAGGTTTACTTTGAGCCCCTGTTATAGATGGTAAGGCTGGAAATCCTTGGACAATTTGAAATGCGGCATTTTAGGGGCTATGGGGCACTATTGTAGATGTTTGATAGAGGCAGTGAATGACCAGCAGAAAGACTGAATATTTTAGCCTTTCTTGCCAGGAATAGGTTACCATTTCAGCTGGTGTTCTTTTTGTGGTAGTCAGGCGGCAAGGTAAGCATGTTGGTTTTAACTTCTGGTGACTCTATAAATAAAAGACTTGCATGAGCCCTGACCAGAAACAGCTAATTTGCATTTTAATTAAGATATATAAATATGATTTTAAAAGTAAATTGGGTGTTGAGACACATAAAACAATATTTAGGGAAACTTAACCAGATGCAGATACAATACCATACAAAGAACAAAACATATAAAACATATAATACACAGTACATCTAAGTAAACTACAACACTGACTTACATCTAAACTAAACTTCTTCTACATATAGGAGAATATAAATGACTATCGCCTTCCTAAGAGTGGTTATAATTGTCAAAACCATAAAGGTCCGCTATTTTCTTAAACTGCGGATCTACCATAAGCATATCTCCATTAATTCTTGAAACTTAAGAAAAACTGCAGTCAAATTACATTTTTCAATAGGTTGCAGCCTATCTACTACTGTAAAATATGTCAAAAATCCTTAATTTTAAATCTCGAAGTAGATTTTTGCCATTTCCAATGTGATTTGCATTGGGGGGGGGGGTGTTTATTTATTTATTTATTTTTAGCATTTTGTGTAATTCATGTGGCCCCTGGAAGTAGAAGACTGGCCTCCACCAGCCTTACCTCAGTTGTCCATTGGTTTTTTAAAAGTAAGTACACAAAGTTATTGAAGACATTAAAGGTGGGATTCATGAAAAATTTATACCATTAGTATAGCACCACTGCCTTCAATAGGATTGACCTTAGTGCATGGTTACTGACAAGTCCATTGAAAAAAATGCATATAAAATTTTAGTAATATACATACAATGTCATTTCCCCCCAAAATGTTGTCTTTGGCCCTGACCCTTTAAGAACATATAATTTATCTCTGCTGTCAGCATTTCACATTCTGAATATTAAAAATACACATTGAAGTCCTCTGAAGTTCAAAGAAAACAAGACTCTGTTCCATTCTGGAAAAGTTGTACGTGTTTGACAAAACATAAGCATGAGTTACAATTACAGTACCTGTAGGCCTATCACTCAAATTAAATGACTTTTAAAACTTTGTGAAAGTGTAATGTATAGGCACGATCTAAATATGACATTCTGAAAGAAGAGAGGGCTGTATTACATGGACCAGCATTCTCCCTAAGTATATATTTATGCTACCATTTAATAGGTTCCCTTTGTTGTAAGATGATTTGGTTCACCAAGGCTCCGTTTGTCCTACATCTGGTCAGCACATTTTCAGTCAATGGCTAAACTGATGCAATTACTTTAAAATCATATAGTGCCCTGGCAGAAAGAAATGAAAATGAAATCCACATTTTTATAGGCTGTCCCACTTAACTAGGTTTAATCCAAGCGGTCCTGCTGCTATCTGGCCTAGGAATGAGGGATTCACTGAAAATGAAAGGGCTCAAGGGTGTGGCGCATCACAGATGTCATTAGTGGGGTACAAGAGGAATGAAGCATATTTCTGTCCCTTGAGGACTGCTCAGTAAAAGTAGGTTGCTACAAGGCTGCAGCATTATATAATAATCTATCTGTGTGTAAATCTCTACACATGCTTTGGGACAATTTTAACAGGGGCTGAAATTATAAATAGCTTCAGGTAACTTCCCAAGCTGAGACAATTAATACAATTAATACCATTCTAAAATGTCGGTATTAGATCAGCAGCAAAAATGTTCAGTTCATCTGCCCTCTCCCCAAATTTATGGTTCAACGAAGGTTCCAGAAATGAAATTGCAGGATGACGTCAGAACCAGGGAAATATATGCAGACAGAAATTTTTGAAATGCACAATAGATAAATGGGAACTTGTATTGACAAAATGTTCCAACGTTCAGCATAGAAATGATGTGAGAGTTAAGGTCCCCTTTCATATGTTTATACAAAGGTGCTGACAAAGGATACTTTGTCTTGTATTCTGCTGCTGGGTATTGGCTGGAAGTGCCAAAATTATATTATCCCAGGGATACGCAAACTTTGGCTCTAGAGCTCCCAAGGATGTTTTTGTGGCCCTCAACACTTCCAGAATCCCCAGACCACTCTTTTTCTGGACAAAGAAAGAGAGTGAATTGCTTTTTCTGAATACCTCCAGAAAAACCAACTGTAAGACCTTCCTGTAATGCTTAACTTCAGTACCCATTTGTAAGAAGTTGATTTCTAGCCCTATAGGTTTTTTTGTTTGGCAGTCTATGACAGCCCATGGCCTGTCATATTTGTTCATTTCTGTGTTTGACCACAATGTTAATCTGGTATTTAATCGCAGATATTTCATACTGTAGGCTGTTTAAGATCTGTGCTTTTATTCTATCAATTATATATATATGAAAGATACCATCATGGCTAAATTAGAATCACTTATGGTTTTTGTTCTTTCAATTAGTATATCCCTCCCTTGAATCAGATGAAGATAATCCAGTATTCAAGTCCCGATCAAAGAAGAGGAAAAGTTCAGATGATGCGCCATATAGTCCAACAGGTAATGTTTCTACAATATATCTTAAACTTAGGCATACAGCAAAATACATTTTGACATCATTTACATTGATAAACTACAACCCTTCATTACTACAGGTTTGAAGAAGCCACAAAATAAGTTATATCAGTCACTGAAAGCATATGGCAATCCCCAAACTGTGGATTGGGTGTGTTCAATGACAATGTTCAGGTGTATTTAAGTATATATTTGGTGCTGGCTAGTAGCTTGTAGCCTCTTTGCTTTGCTATCCTTACTATTCCTCATGTCCAAACATAACCATTACTTTCACTGGATTCGTGTAATCCAGGAGTGTGGGACCTTTAGATTTTCACGATGCTTTGGCATGCAAATCCCATTGACCTCACTCAGTTTTAGTTTTACTTGAAGTATGAATTTTTGTGGCCATCAGAAATAATATTTTGAAGGAATTCCATAGATAGGCATAACAACAAACTTCACAAACCAGGTTTTGTAACTGGCAGCAATTGGCCTTCGTTTTAAACATATGGCAATCAGACATATAGTTCGGGATTTTCTGAGGGTCTTGTAGGCTAAGTTTTCCAAAGTTGCTTTGAATGACTCAGGATCAAACCCTAGATAAATTTTGATTTGGTTAAAAAAGTGATGGGTGTGAAGTTTTATGTCAGAAGTGTGGATAGATCTTACACGACTTTCCTCACTAAAATCACACTCTAAACACACATCTCTTCCAAAGCTTCTGTTATGTGGAGTGGAAGGTTTGAAAGCTTAACATCAAAACTCACTCCCCCTAACAAGGCTAGTACAAGCTTAATGGGTGACTTTTGCATTGCATCTATGGTGCATGATACAAGGGCAGACTGCAAGATATGGATTAGTCTTTCTGTGCAGCAACTCCAAACAGATCCCTTTCTTTTGATCCTTTCTAGCCAAGTTCCTAAACCACAACGTTCTATAATGTTTGTCATGTCAGAAATTTAATGTACTCAACCTTGTTAAGTGATTGGAAATGTCCCTAATACATTATTCTTACTTACTGATTTCTAATTCAAGCAATTCATTCTATAAAAACTTAGGGCTTCTGTGGCTGAGAATTCTAAAGGCCACCCCCTAAACTACAAATCCCAAGATTCCATAGGATGGGACCATGGCAGTTACAATGGATAAATACACCATGAAGCAGCTCACGAAACCCTGACCTATACAATAAAGACAAGCTCACTAAAATCGACTGATATCAGCTAAGCATGCTTAACTGTGGATTGACTGTCAGTGTGTGTGTGTGTGTCCAACTTTTCAGTGATTTCTTTGTAATGTTACCTTTTCTTTTTTCTTCTGTATTTAGCAAGAGTTGGTCCATCAGTTCCTCGGCAAGATAGACCTGTCCGAGAAGGCACAAGAGTTGCCTCAATTGAAACTGGACTGGCAGCTGCCGCCGCCAAGTTATCCCAGCAGGTGAGCTAACCAAATACAGTTTTGCTCTACTAGAAATTTCTACTCTTCATACATTCATTTTTTCTTGCACATGTTGAGGGGTACCACCTAATCAAAAAAGATTCTACTTTTATTGTAAGAAATCCTGCAGGCCCTGGCCCAAGAACTGAAAGTAGCCATTGTGTAAAATCACAGAATCAGAAGAGATCCCAATGGCCATCCAGTCCAACTGCCTTCTATCCAGGAACATACAATCAGAGAATTCCCAATATATGACCATCTAACCTCTGCTTGAAAAGTTTTGGAGAAGGAGCGCCACATTTTGAGGCAGCATATTCCACCGTTGAACACTTCTTACCATCAAGAAGTTATTCCAAATATTTAGGTGGAATCTCTTTTCCCGCAATAATCTGTTGCTCCATGTCCTACTCTTGAGAGTAACAGAAAAACAAATGTACAGTTTATGACAGATACTTAAACCAGGCTATCATGTAATTTCTTTATTTTATTTTATATTGTTTGCCTTGTTATTAACTGTTGATTTAATTTAAAATTGATATATTTATTTGTGTTGTAATGATTTGTATAATTATATTGTTGTGAACCTCTCTGAGTCCCCTTGGGGAGATGGGGCAGGATACAAATAAAGTTGTTTATTGTTGTTGTTATTATTATTATTCCTCATAGAGCTTGGCGTCCAAACTTTTGATCATTTTGGTTGCCCTTCTCTGGGCATATTCCATCTTGTGAATATCCTTCTTAAATTGTGGTGCACAGAACTAGATACAGTATTATTCCATATGAGATCTGACCAAAACAGAATAGTGTGGTCCTATTACTTTTCTTGATCTAGACCAGTAGTTCCCAACCTATGGCCCATGGACCACCAGATCAGTACAACTCATACATTATTCTGGTTGATACTAAGAGAAAAGGAGTTGATGTTAGCAGGTTTTGAAGAATAATTGACTTTTGAATAAATTTAAGAAAAAGATGAGATTGTAAGTAAGGCATTTGTGAATTTATTTTTGTTGTGGGAATTAGAAAATGTAGAAATTAAAAATGAAAATGTAAGAATGTAAGGTATGAAAGGAATAATTAAAGGACAAAATTGTATGTTTTGGGAAGTCAACCTTTTTAAGGTAGAGAGAGAGTAGATATGCATGCAAATAGGTAGAGGTAGATGTGAGATAAGGGTGAGTACAGGGGGATTTGCTTAGCAGTAGTACTTTAACAGGATGGAGGAGCATAGGTTTTGTGTTGAATAGCACTATTTATCTCTTTTTTCTTTTTTCCTATTTGTGTTTTTTGTTGTATTTAGTGATGTGATTAGATGTTTCCTATATTATTAATTTTAGATGTGTTTATTTAACATACTTAATCAAAATATTTTTAAAATTTTACATTTCATACAAAAGATATATGCACTTAGGTAGTCTATAAAATTAAAAGCAATTACAAGAATGCCCAGTAAAACAAGCAAACAATACAGACAGGGTGGACTCTGTAGTTTAGCCCTTATTTCCTTGATGACATTTTTTGGCTATGTCTTATCGCACAGAGGGGACTGCGGGACATCAATTGGTTATGGTGTGCATGAAATATCCTAATGCCTACTCTTCAGAAGATAATGTTGGGTCTTTTCTTTTTGAAAGGAGGAACAAAAGGGCAAGAAGAAAAAGAACGCCAAAAAGAAATTATCACCCAACAATGCAAATAAACTCCCTCAGGAAGGCAGCTCTCCTGAACCCAAGCTGGAGTCCCACAGCAGTAGTTTAGCAGACCATGAGTACACAGCTGGTGCAAGCACATTTGGAGTGGCCCAAGTAAACAGAGGGCCTCAGCCCATGGCTCCGGGAGTTTTCCTTACACAGCGGAGGCCATCATCATCATCACAGAATAATGCAGCTGCCAAAGGTAATTTTGCCTAGTGATGTACAAATCAAATATAATCTGCCCCATGAGTATTCAAGCAGGTACTTTCATTTTCTCTGTCATCAACAGAGTACTCCTTCCAGATTTTTTCCACACTAGTGGTGTTTGGAAATGATTCACAAAATAATACATTTTTCTGTAAGGCATGCTAATACAAAATCAAATATATGCATATGTATTTGCAACAAAGTGATTCTTGTTTTCTTCCCCTCTTTTCCCCTCATATCTTTCCTCATTGTCCATCACAGTATTTTCCACAGGCAAGTACAGCATGTAAATATATTTGTAAATTTTGAGGGCAGTATACAGTACCTTTTCCACCCAGATTCCAGTCACATAAAGCAGACTGGCATTGTGAAGATACTGTCACTTTGGAACAGGGAAAATCTGAGACTGGTTTGGTACCCACAAATCCAGTGGTGAATTTCACCCATATTGCTAATTTTCATTGATTTAGGATAAGAAGGGCAGAATATATCATCCCGTAGATATCTTTATTTAGAGCAATGGGATAGATAATACTAAGGAAAATTAAAATAAAGTTGTTTATCTATATAGCCAAGTCTAGTTTGGAACTAGTTTTGTGCTGAACACTTGGTATAATTCTTGTAGTAAATGAAAGGCATGCCACTGAGATCTTAACCATCTCATAGTTCCCTTTAGAAACCACAAGAAAGAAAACTGTCCATAAAGAAGCACATATTTTGTTAATAAAGAGAACCTGCTACTGTAGTATAAGTGCATCTCTGTTTTAAAAAAGTGTAACAGTTGATTACTACAGATTGGTGTCTTGAGCTAGTCTGTTTTTCTTCAATGGCTGTAAATATTCAAGACATTTGTTCTTAGCTACCATATTTTTGGAATGTTCAATAACATGGGTTTTTTGTATGAAGCTAGCTGAACAGACTTTCTCCAGATTTTTACACATATCACAGTTGGCAGTGGGTTAATGACGCTGTACAGCTACACAAGTAAACCAGTGTGGTGTTGTGGCTTGAGTGCTGGACTGTGGAAGCTAGAGTTCAACTCACTCTTGACCATGAACCCACTGGAGGACTTTAGGCAACTTACACACTCTTATTCTCAAAGGAAGGCAAAGCAGAGGCAAGTTTGACTTAAGGTCAAACTTGAAGGTACACAACAAATAGTTACACAATTCCTACCTTTTCCTATTTATACCCCTCCTTTCTCTATCCATGTTTGCCGCCAGGACCTGACCCTGTGAGTGAGTGAGAGAGGGTGGCAAAGGCAGCAGCAGTGGCAGAACCAGGAGCCTAGCCTCCCCTTCATGCCTCCTCCAAGCCCCGACTTCCTACCCCGCTTGTCCCAGGGCCAAAGGCCGCCCTCCCTCACTTGCTCACTCACCCACCTTCCCTTTGACTTTGCAACCAAGTTGAGGAGCCAAGGCCTGGAGGAGGTAAGAATGGGAGATCAGGCTCCTGGTTGTGCTGCTGCCTTTGCCCTGTGAGTGAGCGAGTGAGGGAAGGCGGATGAGTGAGTGAGCGAGCCTTTGATGCCCTCCCTCTCTTGCTCACTTAACCACCCTCCCTTCCTTGCTCACTGGGTCTTGCCACTGCTGCCACCACTGCCTTTGCCACTGGGACTCGGCCCGGTGAGTGAGCAAGCGAGCGAAAGAGAGTGAGTGAGTGAGCGAGGGAGGGCCTCAAAGGCTTGCTCGCTCACTCAGCCGCCCTCCCTCACTTGCTCACTCACCAGGCAAAGGTGGCAGCAGAACCAGGAGCCTGGCCTCCCCTTCCTGCCTCCTCCAAGCATCGACTCCTTGTCCCGGCGGCAAAAGCAAAGGGAGGGTGGGTGAGTAAGTGAGGGAGGTCTTGGCCACCAGGATGAGCAGGGTAGGAAGCCGGGGTCTGGTGGAGGCAGGAAGGGGAGGGGTTTTCCTTGATCCCTCCCTATTATCTAACATTTTTGGTTATCCAACTTTCTTCTGGCCTGTTTATGTTGGATAACCAAGACTCTACTGTAGTATTTTCTGTGCCCGAGATAATATTACAGTGCAGAAGTAGTATTTTTTGTTATAGACTGCTGTTACATGCAAATAATGTTTTGTTTCCTGTGCACATCAACCATGTAATGAAGAATATACTCATTTACACCATTTTCTCTGCTAGGAATAACATTTTGAAGCGGAAATATTATTTCATGTACAGAAACTACTATTTCCTTTTTAGGAAAACAACCCCATGTGATTTTTATGAGAGTGTAAAGACTGTTGCCAGTCCAGGATTCTTCTCATCATCGTTTTAAAACTCTTGGAAAAATATTGTAAAATCATTTTACTTTTTTGCCATCTTGAGTCCCTATATCAGTAAAAAAGTGGGGTAAAAATTGAGTGAGTAATTTCAAATATGCTTTCTATCTGGAGTCAGAGTATAAAAGAAAGCAAAAAATGGACCCACCTCACCAGTTTTCTTTATCATTAGACATTAATTTTTCCTCAGTGGTAAATAACATTATTTTGATGGATTTTTAGTTATTACAACCCTGTATCTCTTAGCACTGGGATCTATTTTTGAACCACATACTGAAGTCAAATTAACTAAGGCAATAATGATGGGTAAGTAGAAGGCAATAGAAAAAGAGAAAGACCAAGTTACAAGTAGGTAAACTTAATAAAGGAAGCTATGGCTCTGATTGTCAATGATCTTCACACTCTTCACACAATTTGCAAGCTGTTGATGACCACATTTCTTAGTTGTACAGTCACTATGCTGAAGCTGATGTGACAGCAAATAATGGAAACAATTAAGCAGAAAGACTTCAAGTGTATCAGAGTTGTGAAGTGGATAAAAGTACATAGTAGTGATTTGGGAGGTCTCCTTTTCCACTGTTCTCTCACTTGCAAATTCATGTTAGCTGGTGTCAATCTATCCTGCAATCATTCTTACAAACGGATTGGAAGAATCTAAGCAATATATTGATTTAAAATATTTCTGTATTTTCTCCCAGCCCAAAGAGGCTCCTGAAGAAATGAGGCAATAAAAACCAATAAAGCAACAGAAAAAACACATTGTAGGCTAACACCAGCCCCTTGAATTGAGCTTGGAATCAAATTGGAGGCCAGTGTAATTCTTTGGTTAAGGCACATATTAACTACATATTTGTTAACTTTATTTTTACATAGCTTGTGCACTGTCTGTAGAACATGGAAGATGGTTTATTTGTCTCTAGAAAGTGGTAATGTTATGGACCACTTTCTAAATGATTTGCTTAATCTTTCCTGGTGAGATAGTTTTTAGATGTTTCTCATTGTAAATGTGGTTATTATGACCTAATGCTCTCCTTTTTCTCCTGTCTCCAGGGAAACGTACAAAAAAAGGCATGGCCACAGCCAAGCAAAGGCTTGGGAAGATTTTGAAAATCCATCGGAATGGAAAGCTTCTCCTTTAGAACGCAGCCACAGTTGGGACTGTATCCAAGTTCAGAATGCCCTGAGCTGACACTAACTCTTCAACTCTTGAAGGACCGCAGTAGTATTGGGTGACATCTTAGGGACAATACCAGTTAACTTTTTGCCACCACTTTAATAAATTCTTTTTAACTTTCAGCAGTTAAACATGTACAGAATACTGCTATAAATATTTTTTAATATAGATGTCCTTTCTCAAATTGCTGAGAGTGACTAGTTCGCAAAAAGTTAATACTCCAAGATGCTGAGGATCATTCCAGTTTTAGGAAAGTATCCCTTTAACTTGTTTATAAGTGAAGAAAAAGCAGTTGTTTTTAAAAGTATGCACATTAATTTTCAGTTACACTTCATTTATCAAAGCTGTACCAATTTTAAAGAGGTATCTGGCTAAGTGGCAGGAGATGAGAGTTTTTTTTAAAAAATGCTCTAATTGACTTGACTTGTAGAGAAAAGTGATTTCTGCCATTATTGTGTGATAATACCTTCAAGAAGGAAAATTGCATAATGCAATATTTGGTTTTCTTTACCCAGATTATGCTAAATATGTTTCGCTCAGAACAAGAATTGAAATTGCACTTCAGCACCACTAAAAATGTCCCCTGTAACCAGACATCAAATGGCCATGAGTAAATTTATTTATTTTATGTGCAATCCAAGGTGAATTCTTGAACATAATGGATCACAAATCAGATCCAGTGGGGTTATGATTTGGGCAAAGTCTCATAAGAGTCTCATGCAGCTCTTTGAAAAATCAGTGGGATTTTTTTCTGTTGATGCTTGACTACATGTTCACAAATAGATTTCCAATCTTCCTTTTTCTTATCTATAAGGGTTTTGCAGTTTTTAAAGCACTGGTTTGCATGCTGTCCATGCTCATTAGCTCTGCTTTCGTCACTGCAAATCAATGTGTAATAAAAGTAGCCTTGTTGGAATTTTTTAAAAAATATACCCTTTGACAAATATCTCACAAATGGATGCGCATAACTGGTGAAGGGGAATTATTGGCACTTCAGTACTGTCAGCCCTCTGTATCCACAGATTCTGCAACCACAGGTTTCACCATCCATGGGTTGAAAATATTCAAAAAGGAAATTCTAAAAGACAAACCTTGATTTTGCCATTTTATATAAGGGACCCCACTTTACTATACCATTGTATATAATGGGACCTAAGCCTCCATGGATTTAGGTATCCACAAAGGTCATAGAATGAACCCCCAATAGGTAGGGTAGTACAGGCCTACTGTAAGATTTGAAAACAGGGACTGTGCTTGGAGGCACTTTTAATGAATTGTCAGCTGTACTAAATGGGCTTATTTACACAATAGTTTCTCCTCCTACATGTTGGTAGTTCAGGGTTCTTGTTTTGGAATGATGCCCATTGTTCACTAGAGATGAGGTGTCCTTGTTATTTTGAAACTGATTTGTATGCTGAGATCCCATGCTTTACTTGCAGTGTTTGAAATCAGTGGGGAAAACTTTTGTGGAAGAGAAGCCAGTGTTTCAGTTTCTCACAAAGAGTGGTGTATTGGACTACAGGCAGATCCTGTTCTTTTTCTGCAACATTATCTCCTGATTTGGCTTCCCACATGCAATGGCAGCTAGTTACTTCTATATTTGTTGGATGGGTTGTATAGTGTGAACTTTAAGAGAGCTATTGAAGGTGGTGAAACTAGGCCCAGAGTACATTCAACACCTTGGATAGCTTCTTTAAAATTCAGACAAAATCCAGAGCAAATTCACCAGCCACTGCCACTACCAACACCTTAGTCTCCCCTTTTCAGTTATTATCACCATAGTATTGTGAGATCTCACTGGGTAGAAAAGGCAAGAATATCACAAAGGTAATATAATATCTCATGCTCAGAGTGCTGTGCATGATGAATTAGAAGTAAGTTCTACTGCATTCAGTAGAGTTTTATCTCAAGTAAGAAAGTAGAAGATTGCCATGTTACTTGGTTATCTTCTAGCTTTTTGGAAACTTGTCCTTAAGATTGCTATTACCTTGCAATGACCTTTGAACTGTGTCTAATGGTTCACACATCAGTTCACGAGTGCACTATTGTTGATGCAATCATTTATTTTCAAAAAGGCACTAATCAATTAGGATTTCTTTCCCCCAGAACTTGCAATGGTATTTTTCAATAAGTACTTAATGGTTTAATTGGTTACAAAACAATGTCACATCCCCTTTTTGTTGTGTGTTTTGTTACTTTTTAAAAAGATAAGAAAATGACTGCATTATTAGCCCTCCTCCCCAGTAAAGAGTATGCCAGTCATTATTGTGGTGGCTGGAAGGAATGTGTAAACCCCTGCACCAAAGCAAAGTAATGTCCATTTTTTAAATAAAGAAGCACCATATTAACACCCCCTACCCCCAGGGTCTATACTGATTGCTAGTCAAAAGTAGAGAAGATCCATTGAACACATTGCTGCATGGTAACTCTACTCTTATGCAAGTTCAGTTGATTCTGTGGGCCTCCTTTAGTCAGGACCAGTAACTGGATTTAGGCCAGTATGTTACAGGGAACATATGTGGGCTACTTGTAGACAGTACTCCCAGCCTCCTCCTCTCCTTCTTTTTTTTCCATTCAGCCTTGATCATGTACAAACCCAAGAATTAAATAAGCAAAGAAGTTGTCTTGGGACCACTGAGAATACAAGCAAGCACATCATCTGCTCCATTCCCCAATCCTTCTTTGGGGAGGAGGATGTGCAGTCATCTGAGTGCTACAGAAATGTGAGATGAGCACAAGCTCTTTGAGGCTTTTTCCAAAAGAGAAGAGGAAAGCCCATAAACCCATTCAATACCTGAAATATAATGGCTCACCATCTGGGCAAGCTTTGATCCCAAGACATGTGATGAAAGCACAGACTGTGTGGTTCTGTCAGCGATATACCTAAGGCTTCTGGCATCCATATCAAAGCACTTCCTATCAGATATGTTCATCTGCAGGAACAAGGCTGCAGTGTTAAGATGAGAGCCAAGCTTATTGACAGTTTAACTGGATACTTGTTGTCTCTTCACTCTCTTAGTGTTTGGTGCAGAGTGTATTATTTGACATCAAACCTGCTTGTCTGCATATCAACACTGAAGGAGTTAAATTTGTTTCTCAGGCAATCCCAGGTTTTCATTTATAGATACGTTTCCTAAAGCATATTTTTTCATAGAATGTAGCCTGTAAATAGCTTTTTAAAATACCTTCTTTTTATAAGAGCAAATTATCTTTAGGCATTTCTTTCTATAGAATAATTCATTAATCTTTATACAAGTTTTTTGCTGAGTATTACGAACAGTTGTATTTTAGGTTCTTGACTCTAAGAGAGAAACTTTGGGTTTGGTCCTTGTTTTTATTGCGTTGTATTTCCTTTCTTAAAAAATAAAATTTGGCATTGCCTGAAAAACAATGAAAACTTTGTGCAGCCTTATAAAGAATCAGTTATTCGTACAAAATAAAAAAAATGATCTATTTAAGACACATTATGAAGAAGAATCTTCAAACTTTATGATACCAGCTCCTTGTTTCAATTCTTGTATTATGAGAGGATACAATTATTTTATTAGCACCTTGTGAAGTGTTTCTGTGTTTTGTGATGATGTAATTTATTAATGTTTGTAGCTTTTTATATTTGTACATTTCTTATGAGCTTTGTTTATATACACATTACCTGGATGTGATGTCCATGAGGAAAAAAAACAGCTACAGAAGACAACTGAGGCCTTATTAACTAACCTTTCTACAGTAATGATGTTGAGGCTGGGTCAGAACTCTAGGAGACAAAAAAACGTTAGTTGAATAGGGCCCCAGGGTTATGGCGAGCAGGTTTTTTTAAGCTTCCCTAGTATCTTGTTCTTGTCAAGCATTTCTATAATATAACGCAGACATCATGCTGGTTTTTTATTATTATTATTATTGTTATTGTTATGATTATTATTATTATTATTTTCGCAACATGTACATTTCTAACAAAGTTTATTGTGGCTATCTATTACAGTGTTTTATTTACTGATTCATATCAAATGCTCTTGTATCAAGTCCATGAAATCTAAGTAAACTTAGATCAAAATTTTAAAAGTAAAATATTTCAGGTTTTGTATAGAGTTGGCGTCAGTTTGTTTATTCAAGGTGAATTAAGTGGTGTGCCTCCATGCCACCAAAGAGCATGCTGCGCTATGCTACAATTGTTGTTTTCTCCAGAGCTTCTTATTGCAGGAACAACACTTTTAGTCCTGAGGCTACTTGATCAGGAGCAGGTAAGTGGAAAAGGAATGAAGAACTAAATCTCATTCACATATCTGACCGTAGGAGAACAACAAGTAGCTTTAACCACTGTTAAAGCTATTTGTTGCTGATATTTCTAGAACAGACATTTCTGCAACAAATAAATTGGCTTTTTTGGATCATCCATACCATTTCAGTTCTCAAAAGCAAATTTCATCCTTCAGAAACCTATGCTCGGGACATGAATTACCTTCTCAAATTATTTTATTGTGGCTATCTTGTATCACAGTGGGTTAAACTGCTGAACTGCTCAACTTACTGGCCAGAAGGTTGGTGGTTTGAATCTGGAGAATGGGGTGAGCTCCCACTGTTAGCCCTAGCTTTTGCCAACCTAGCAGTTCAAAAATATGCAAATGTGAATAGATCAATAGGTACTGATTCGGTCAAAAGGTAATGGTAGTTCATTCAGTCATACCGGCCACATGACCTTTGAGGTGCCTATGGACAATGCTGGCTCTTTGGCTTGGAAATGGGGATGAGCACCACCCCCAGAGTCGGACACAACTAGACTTAATATCAAGGGGAAACCTTTACCTTTACTTATATCCCGCTCTGAAGGAGACTCAGGGCAGCAGTTATATATTGAAGAAACGGGGGTTTCTGAAATACAAGCTGAACTATTTGGAGGTCAAGGGGAAATGTAGGGCCTTGGGTGAAGAGGGCAGGGGTATCTGGATCAATGCTTTTGTCAACACCTTGCACCTGTATAAAATGTTGAGCAGCGCTGAAAGCTTCTCATGAAAGAAGAGCCCTCATGACAAATGTAAGGGCTACAAATTCACATGAGTGTAAAATCCAAGAAACTTGGGAATTCTAGGTAAATAACAGAGGATTAAGCTCTGTGTTCGTAACTTTTGTTTGAATATTTTCTCAGTGTTTTGAAAGCAGTGGCTTATAAAACGTGACTATTCCTCAAATGTTGAGGACCCTTCAGGAAATATAATCTGACCACATTCTAATAATTTACCAGCCTGGGCCTTGACTTGTTCCAAATTTTGTAGTCAGAAAGAAGGAAAGAAACAGCTGCCTTGGAACTGCAAAATATATCAGATATATAACCCTGGAGATTTTTTTAAAAAACAACAACAACAACAACACAATAGTAGATTTAAATCCCTCTTTTTCAATTCCTTAATTGAGACTGAGACTATTGAACCAAAACATTGTAGACAACTTTGTAAAACAAAACAAAACAAATAATCAAATCAGGAACTAAATGGCCACAAGATGGGGCTCTACCTCTACATTATCTATAGATGAATTTGTGTGTAATGATAAAATATTGAGAGCAGAGCACATCTAACTTTCAGTGAGAAGACTTTTTTTATATGTGAATGCAGTTCTTGCTTTTTATTTTGAGGAACATAACTATAGCAAATGCCCAATTGCAAGGTCAAAGCACTGCTGTTGTAAACCAAAGGCCAGCACCTCTTTGACCAGATCACTTGTTAATCCGTTATGGCTTTTATGTACAACAAACATTGGCCATGTGAATATTAATGTTAGGATCCAACAAGGTTGTTTCACAAACAGAATGGCTTCCATCAATGAGACCAAGGAAGATGGATTTTCCCCTTGCTCCTACGGGTCCTCAAGTGTTCTCAAAACCTGTTATAAGTCCTGGCTCACTTGCAGACAGATTGAAAGTTGCCTTACATTAAATTCTCACAATCAGGAGTCTTCCGTGTTTCCCCAAAATTTCCAAAAAGAAAATAGCATGGCATCGCACAAAGTAAATTGAGACCATGGAATTAAACACACAAGCCCAAGGTCTTGTATATAACAATGGCCTGAAATTTGTTTCAAGGCTTTCTACAAGTAAAGTGTAAAGAGAAGCATGTTTCTGTTTTTAGTCTCAGTCTGCAAACATGTGTCAAATTTAGAGGCTGGAAGAGTTAATTTTTAGAATCCTGTTCAATTGTGGGAATTATACAGTAGACAACTTGAATCATTACAAGGTCAATACTGATAGAAGGCTTTCTAGTGCTGTGAAATCACAAGCCATCAATGTATATTTTAAGTGTAAGTGTTCTTCTGACTCCATCTGTTACATTAAATAAGACAAATGGGCAAACTTCAGTCCCTGTCCCCCAGTTCCACAAAAGACTGCAATTTATTTTGTCCATTTTGCCTGACCTTTCAAGTGAAATAAAATTTATGAACCATAGACACTACCAGTCAAAGCTTTGTTTCATTCTAATCATAAGCAAAAGGATCATAATCACTAAGGCAATGTGTGAGTCTGCAGAGAGAGACAGAGAGAGAGGCAGAGAGAGAGAGAAAGACAGACTGGAGATATAGCGAAAGTGAATTGGTGTTTCTCTCATGTTGATTGTTTCCTTTGTAGGTCTGGCCCAGAAGCAAGTGATGCTGATGAGCCCAGCAGTTCCCTGAAAGGTTCCAGCCTCCAACTTCAGTGAAAACAGATGGATGGGGCTCTTGACGAGATTCACAGCGCCACTGTAGAAAAGCTTCACATAAGGGATGTCCTTTTTGTTCTTTTTCTAAATCAACTTTCTGATCGTTTCCACATCACTAATTGCAAGTGAAGGGAATCTTTGCAATTGATTGAATGATGGTTTTACACTTTTGGCTAGGAGGTTCATTTCTTTCCAATTTAAATGTCCACCCTTCCCTCTAAAAAGGTTTAACGTTGCATTCTACAAAAGCGGAAAAGCAGAGAGGAGGACTTGTAGCATTGTATTCACAGCAGTAGACTAATTTAAAACTTCAGTCGAAGTTTTGGGTGCTTAAATACAATTTAAGCACCCAAAGAAATGAGGCAAACAAAGTTACTAACACAGCAAATACAGGAGTTCTAAATATGAGATATTTTAAGTTGTTATGGAGGAATGGAATTCTTATTGACAGCAATGCCCCTAATTTTGCCTCCTCATAGCCTACATTTCTGAGCTGCATCATATCACACAACACAGCTAAAAAGAAAGGGATTTCCCTTTCTAGTTTATTCAAAGAATATTCAATTAATAAATATTTAACTCCTGATGGTAAACTTTACCTTCTTCTCTGTTGTTAAGACAGCTGTGTGACCTATGAATCCTGAAATTTGCTGTCACGAGCAAACTAATGTCAAAGTTTGATAGTAGTTTGGTCAGATATTTTTGTGATTTTGTAGTTCAAAACCTGTGTTTTGCCAACCCACTTCAGCTGCGTAATTGGAGATCAAATAGATATCCCCATTTAACACTGCCCCCAACAAGCATTGTCGTTTTCACCCAAAAGCAGTGCCAATGTTTTGTCATAATTTTGTGGGGTTTTGACAGAAGTTTTCCCTGTGGAGGGAATAATCAGCAAAGCCATGATGCCAATATGTTTGTTCTTTCCTCTTTCCTTGGCAGATGGTTTTACCATCTCCTAATTAATGCTTCCTGACTACAGTGAAAATAAAGATGCCTCAATAGTCAGAATAATAAAAATTTGGATTCTTTTGTCAGGAACATCTGAGTCTCTGAGATTTTGGGGCCAAAACCAGAGACTTAAGAACAGCTTCTGGTCGTGCTATTGGATGTGGGCCCCAGTGAATCAGAAGAGGAAAATAAATTTAGCTAGGATTGAGTTAGTTGCAGCCCAGCCATTGATCTGACACCTCTGTACCCAAAATAATGCTTGGCCAACAAAGAAACAGTCAACTGAGTTAAAGTTTATTGTAAAAAAAAGTGTAATATAGAAAAAGCTCATTCAAAAATACGTTCCAAAGTAAAAACTAGAAAAGTATCTTCAAAGTATACATAAAAGGCAGAAGCATGAATACATTTCAAATACGGGTTTCAAGGAACATTCCAAAATGCAAGTTACAGTCATAATATTCTTGATGCAGTAAACCACACAGATCACTATAGAAAGTAAAGCCAGAAATCCACAGAACTTGACTCTCCGATTCCAAACCAGGAAACATGACATGAAAGCAAGGCCCAAAATCTTATATCCTGGAGCTCATACAAACAGAATAACCTTCTCTTGAACATGCAAAGTTGCTCTCACAAAGAACAACTCACAAAGCTGACTTAAGAAACCGAGTATTTCCATGGGGACACTAATGATCTACCACTTGGCATTTTGTTTATCTTTTAGACGCTGTGAGAACTTTAATTGCCTTTGCCTAGCATTATCTCACCTTAATTGAAGGCACTGAGATATAGGCAGCAACCCATCCTCTCCCTCCTCCTTTGCATTATTCCCAGGGTCAAGCAAAGCCTCTGGCTCATATCATGTGAAACATTCTCACCACAATCAGATCTGTCTGTGAAGCAGTTCCCATCATCCTGAGAATTACTTTCCCCCAGAGGCAATACAGAAATGGTGGGCTCCCATTCAGACTCTATTTCAAGAGTATCCGGCCCCATCAGCAAAGGGTCCCCCTACTCCTCTTCATATCCGGCCTCAACAGAGCTAGTGGGTGGGTGAACAAAAAGAAAAGGAGAGAATTGAAACCAAAAATTAAAAGAGAAAGTAATGAAGTTACTTGAAGAGCTGAAGAAGAAAAACCATGATAGAGGTAGAGTCTTTCTTATCCAAAATTCTTGAAACCAGAAGTGCTTTCAATTTCAGACTTTTACAGATTTTGGAATACTTGCACGTACTACTTGGTGATGGGGCCCAAGTTTAATCACTAAATTCATTTATGTTTCATATATAACTTATACATGCAGCCTGTAGGTAATTTTATACACAATATTTTAATAACGTGGTACATGAAACAAAGTTTGTGTCACTATCTCATCCACCATGTGACAAATTCAGTTTTTGGAGTATTTTTGATTACTGGATAAAGGGTGTTTAACCCGTTTTTGCTAACA